ATAAACTACTCCAAAGTGACCCTAAATTACCGTAAAGTGACCCCAAAGGGAACCCCAAATACCCCAGAGTCACCCCCAAATACCCCAGAGGGACCCCCAAACGGTTCCTAAATACCCCACAGGGACCCCAGGGGACCCCCAAATACCCCAGAGTCACTCCAAAGGTTAACTAAATACCACACAGTGACCTCAAAGGGACCCTAAATACCCCAAAGAAACCCCCAAATACCCCAGAGTCATCCCAAAGGGACCCTAAATACCCCACAGTGACCCTAAATACCCCACAGTGACCCTAAATTACCCCAAAGTGACTTTAAATTACCCCTATATTACCCTAAATTACCCCAAAGGGACCCTAAAGGCGTTCCTCACCGTGATGCTGCGGATGACCCCGGTCATTCTTTAAATTACCCCAAAGTGTTCCTAAACTACCCTAAATTACCCCAAAGTGACCCTAAACTACCCCAAAGTGACCCTAAACTACCCCAAAGTGACCCAAAATGACCCCACAGTGACCCAAGTGATCCCAAAGTGACACTAAATTACCCCAAAGTGACTTTAAATTACCCTAAACTACCCTAAACTACCCCAAAGGGCCCCTATATTACCCTAAACTACCCCAAAGTGACCAAAATTAACCCAAAGTGACTTTAAATTACTCCAAAGTGACTTTAAACTACCCCAAAGTGACTTTAAACTACCCCAAAGTGACCCTAAAGTACCCTAAACTACCCTAAACTACCCTAAACTACCCCAAAGGAACCCTAAATTACCCCAAAGGGACCCTAAAGTACCCTAAACTACCCCAAAGTGACTTTAAATTACCCCAAAGTGACCTTAAACTACCCCAAAATGACTTTAAATTAGCCCAAAGTGACCCAAAATTACCTGAAACTACCTTAAACTACCCTAAACTACCCCAAAGGGCCCTAGAGCCTCTCCTCACCGTGATGCTGCGGATGACCCCGGCCTGGCCCATCAGGTCCATGAAGTACCCTAAATTACCCTAAAGTACCCCAAAGTGACCCTAAATTACCCCAAAGTACCCTATATTACCCTAAACTACCCCAAAGTGACCCTAAAGTACCCTAAACTACCCCAAAGGGCCCTAAAGGCGTTCCTCACCGTGATGCTGCGGATGACCCCGGCCTGGCCCATCAGGTCCATGAAGTACCCTAAAGTACCCTAAAGTACCCCAAACTACCCTAAAGTACCCTAAACTACCCCAAAGTGACCCACAACTACCCCAAAGTGACCCAAATGAACCCAAAGTGACTTTAAATTACCCCAAATTAACCCAAAGTGACTTTAAATTACCCCAAATTAACCCAAAGTGACTTTAAATTACCCCAAATTAACCCAAAGTGAC